GGATACATACTTAGTTAGAGGCTAGCCTGAGCTACATGAGACCCTCTCTCAAAAAACACAAAACAAGATTATCTTTTTTGTTTTGTATATTTTTTTAAATAAGTGCATTTTCTATGCCCAGCTAGATTTTTTCTCTTTTCTTTTCTCTTTCTTTCCCTCCTCCCTCTCTCTCTCTTTTTTGAGACAAATTATCACTGTAGCCCAGGCAGGTTTGGAAACTGCTACACAGACTAGACCGGCCATGAACTTTTTTCTTTTCTTTTTTCCTCTTTCTCTTTTTCTTTCTTCCTTCCTTCCTTTCTCTCTTTCTTTCTCTCTTTCTTTCTCTCTTTCTTTCTTTCTTTCTTTTTCTTTCTTTCTTTCTTTCTTTCTTTCTTTCTTTCTTTCTGTCTCACTGTGTAGCTTAGGCTGGCTTGGGACTTGCTGTATAAACCAGGCTGGCCACAAAACTGACAGAGATCTGCCTCCCCAAAACAACTAGGACTAAAGGTGTGTGTGACCACATAGAGCTGGCCTTGAACTCTTGGTTCTCCTCACTCATCCTCTCATCCTTATAGCTTTTAAAATTATTATTATTACTTACTTGCTCCATTTTTTTGTTGGCTTTGTTTTATTTTGAAATCTCTGATGAAGAGGTTTCTACTTTAAGGTGTCCCAGGGTTTTCCAAGAAACAGAACTGTCACCCTCCTTTCCTTGAACAAATATGGGCTTGTTGAGCGTGAGATGGTTGAGCAGGTGGAGGTGCTCACCGCCAAGCCTGAGCACCTGAGTTGGATCCCAGAGGTCCACATGGTGAGGGAGGGAACTGATCCCCACATGCTGTACAGCGCGCATACTTGGAACAAACACGTAAGTAAATAAATGGTATCTTTACAATGTTTGTGCTTTCAGTTTTCGGGGAGAGATGGTAAAAGACTTGGACCACTCTTGGGCAGAGCTTGGATGTACACCATTGAAAACTCGTAGGACACCAAAAGTTTCACAATGAACAGACAGGGCACAGCAAAGGTTTCAAACTGTAAAAACAATCTACATTCATGTCAGGTGTTCTGTGTTGTGCAGGCCCTTCAAAGAAGGAGAGACACCCTAGAATGTAATTTAGGCTCTGGTAGCAGGGAGGAACAGTTTCTGAGAACTGAACCCCGAACCACTGTTCAGAAGCATATTTATTGGCTGTACATAAAGCCTGTGTTTGGGATCCAACAAGTTCCTCGTGTCAAAACCCCCTCTGATTTATTCTACATGTTATCTGAAGAAAACCATCACACCCTCACAACCTTTAGTCTTTATTGTACAGTGTTTGATGTTTCCAATAATAAAGACCTCCAAGTGTGCCTGGTTAGTCATGTGATCAAAGATATGCAATAGACGTATAACCCCTTCAAATAAAAAAAAAAAAACTCTATAAATCATAACTGTTCTTTACACAATTTCCTCAAGGTCCAGGTACCTTCAACAAACACTAATACACGCCCTAGATACAGTGACTCTACTAGATTCCCACCACACATTCACAACTTTTTGAAAACAAAAAGACAAAAAGAACTGTCAAGGATGTCAAGGCCAGGGATGGTGGTGCATGCCTGTAAACCCAGTACTCAGGAGGCAGATCTGGAGAAATCTAAGGCCAATCTGGTCTAGGTGGCAAGTTCCAGGACTGCCAGGGCAACATACTGAGACTTGTCACTCACACCACAAGCCAAGGTCCAAGTCCAGACTTGGGAGGAGGTGGAGACAGGAGAATTAGGAATTCAAGGTCAGTTTTGGCTACATAGTGAACTCAAGTTGGCCTGGGCTGCATGAGACCAGTCTCAAAAAAAAAAAAAAAACAAAAACAAAAAAACAAGTCAAGTGATGCTCACTCAGCTGGGCTTAAAATGTCACATCCACACTCTCAGGGGTAGTGCTGTATCAGGTCCTACACAGCTGGGCCTCTAATGTCCATCCACACTCTCAGGAGTAGTGCTGTGTCAGTTCCTACATCACCCACCTTCCTGAAGATAAGACAACAACAATAGAACCACCACCACCACCACCAAGAAAAGGATTTAATTTGGAACAATGAAACAGTGTAATTTGAATTTACTGATAATGATCTTAATTATACAATAGTATACGTAATGACTCTGTTCAATCTTCAAGGAAGAAGCATGCAAAATGTTAATGAAAAATTAAAGAAAATTATGTTTAATGAAGGAGAAAATAGCCCAATATTTTAATAGCTTCCATAAAATAAGCTCAACTGGGTGTGAAAAAAGGTGAAAATAATGAGCTAGAGCATTTTCCATTTCCACGGCGACTGGATCTAGCACCACAACCTTCATATTAGTGTTCATTAGGGAAATATTTCCTTTTTTACGTATATTAACCAAAACTGCCTCTCTTACAGATAATTAGTGCAGATATAAAGCTTCGTGTTTTCCAGTTGTACAAACATGAAAGCGTTGTGATAGGATTAGTGTTATCTGAGGCTGGGGATGGTGGAGTGCTCGCCTAGCATCCATAAAGCCCTGGTTTAACTCCAGCACAGCGCAGACTGGGCATGCTGGCGCACACCTCCAGTCCCTTCACTTGGAAGGCTGCCATTTTATTAGCTCTACGGCAAGTCTGAAGAAGACTGGGCTTCATGGGGTCCTGTTTTTAAGAGAATTGTAATAAGATCACATCAATCTGTTTCATAGTTTTATTCCTAGTGCCCAGCACAGCACCTCAAAGGTAAATGCCTAATAAGTAAATAGTCACACTGATTTGCTTTGTGGTGTTATGAAAACTGCCTGGCGATTTTATTTTTGGTGTGATAATGTTTTGAAACAGGATCTCATGACTTTAATTCCTGATTCCCCTGCCTCTACCTCCCTAGTGCTGAGACTGCAGGTCCATGCTACCACCATATCCACCCTGCCGGCTCATTTCTGCTGATGTACTACTGCTGTTCACAGTGTGGGACCTCTCCACTTTTCCATGCCTCTCTGGCCCGCGGCATCTCACACTCTGTGCCTGTGCTCTAGTGCTTTAGGCACACCAGTTCCTGTGTGACACGGGATTTGCAGCTTCTTCCGGATCCTCGTGTCACTGGAGCCAGACATCCTAAGTTCTTACCCCCAGGCCACTCCTTTGCACACTCTCTGCCACAGATTTAATAATGCTCTCATGAACATTATCCCATGAGCAGGGCCAGTTCTTGGGGAAGTCCATGTCAGCGACACCCGGGCCTCATGGACAGGCTTGCCATCCCAGCCACTCAGGAGACTGCAGCAGGAAAACTGAGATTTCAGAGTGAGTTCAAGTCCTGTCTGAGCAACATAGTGAGACTCAAGAGAGCAAATAGAAAAGTACAAAGGAATATAGCTCAGTGGTAGAGTATGTGCCTAACACATGGGAGGCCCTAGGTTCAACCAGAAGTGTGACAAAAAAGAAAAGGGAAAAAGAGAAGCCTAGTCAGGTGACAAAAGCACGACCTCCAGGGAATGAAAGTGAACTTGCGAGTGGTCTGGTGTGATTCCCCGCCCCCAGCCTTCTTCTTCAGGGTCGAGTTGTGTAGGATAGGTTGTCCTCAAGAGTCCATCCTCCCATCTCTGCCTCTGAGTGCTGGAACTGCTCACTAGCTACCTTTGATCTGATACCACTCATCTTTTGCTGTCTCCATAAGGCATTTATTTTGGTTATGCATTTTATGCACTTATTAAAATGATCACAGTGCCTTGTTCCCTTATCCTGTGAAAGAGGTAATACAGTTCACTGGATTTTAAAATGGTGACTTTTTTGGTTTTGTTTTGTGTTTGTTTTTCAAGACAGTGTTTTTTTTTTTTTTTTTTTTTGGTTTTTCGAGACAGGGTTTCTCTGTGTAGCTTTGTGCCTTTCCTGGTACTCGCTTTGGAGACCAGGCTGGCCTCGAACTCACAGAGATCCGCCTGCCTCTGCCTCCCGAGTGCTGGGATTAAAGGCGTGCGCCACCACCGCCCGGCCCGACAGTGTTTTTCTATGCAGTTTGTTTTGTTTTGTTTTGCTTTGTTTTTGGTTTTTCGAGACAGGGTTTCTCTGTGTAGCTTTATGCCTTTCCTGGAACTCACTTGGTAGCCCAGGCTGGCCTCCAACTCACAGAGATCCGCCTGGCTCTGCCTCCCGAATGCTGGGATTAAAGGTGTGTGCCACCACCGCCCGGCTACTTCTCTGTGTAGTTTTGGTGCCTGTCCTAGATCTTGTTCTGTAGACCAAGCTGGCCTTGAATTCACAGGGATCCCCCTGGCTCTGCCTCCCAATGCTGGGATTAAAGGTGTGTGCCACCACCGCCTGGCCATAAGGAGTTTCTTCAATGACCATCATCTCTGAAGTAAATTGCTGCTGCCAGGAGCAGATGTGTCTTATTGTCACGAAAAGCCCTAAGTTAGCAAAACATTTTTTTTTTTTTTTTTTTTTTTTTTTTTTTTGGTTTTTCGAGACAGGGTTTCTCTGTGTAGCTTTGCGCCTTTTCCTGGAACTCACTTGGTAGCCCAGGCTGGCCTCGAACTCACAGAGATCCGCCTGGCTCTGCCTCCCGAGTGCTGGGATTAAAGGCGTGCGCCACCACCGCCCGGCTAGCAAAACATTTTAAATGCCATATTCTGAAGGTCTTTGAAAGGTTTGAAGACCATCTATCTATCGAAAATATATCTCTATATGACCTGGAAAGCATACCTAACATATCGACAATTTTGATTGTTAGAAATGACTCAACATTAACCTATGTTTCCTGATTATCCTATATAGTTTATAATAATAGTTTTCCAAACTAGAACTTCACCCTACATTTCCAAATGAACTGCATAGGCACAATACCTCAAAAAAAAAAAAAAAAAAAAAAAAAAGAAACATACATATAATATGTTGTAACAAAAATAACCTTAAATTTTTATCAATATACAAAAATCCTTTGAACAAGAGTAGAAACATATATACAATATAACAAAATTAACTTTGAATTTGTATCAATATACCAAAATCCATGCCAATGCAAAATATCTGAAATTAATAGTTGTCTCTTTATTCTATATTCCTATATTCCCCTAAATAATAACAAACATCCATAGCCCACCAAATAACCAAAGGCCTCCCACAACCCAACTCTTGGGAATGTGGACTTTGTGTTCTCCAAACTGCTTCCTGCTGTCTGTGGATGAAGTATCTTTAGGGTCCCAGAGAAATTTTCAGATAATGGCCAAGTCCTGGGAAGACCAGCAGTAACCTTTGTGGATAGATATCACCTGTCGAGGTTCAGGAGGTCTCCCTTCATCATACCTGATTCATCTCATTCCTGAAGGAATCCACAGCCTCTCGTCTCCTGTGGGAACAAAACTCCAAAGCATTTTTTATTTCCATTTGAAAAATACATTTTTTTATTTCTTTTTTAGAGTTAAGGCATTCCTAAAGTATCTAGATTGGTTCAATTTAGCAGTCCAGTTCACAACCCCATGCATCTTAGCTGGTATTGCTTGCTTGTCAGCATTCAAAAAAATTAAAAATCAACACAATATTATATAGGATGCAAACTTCCTGTATATTTCCCATCTTACATGGCTTTTTTTCTTTTATATCTCTTTAAAGGCTTTATTTTTCAAACTCTATAACTGCTTATACCCATATTCTTTTTTTAAAAGATTTATTCATTGTGTATTATGTATACAGTGTTCTGCCTACGTGCCAGATCTCATTACAGATGGTTGTGAGCCACCATGTGGTTGCTGGGAATTGAACTCAGGACCTCTGGAAGAGCAGCCAGTGCTCTTAACCACTGAGCCATCTCTCCAGCCCTATACCTACATTCTTTTCTTTCTTAAGCCTACGCACATTATAAAACACACTTGAACCTGTTTAGAAGGTTTTTCTGTCTGAACCTCTTTTACTATGTGTTGTTGTAGAATATTATTTTAAGGTGTGTTACTTTTGTTTTGTTGCATTTGTTTAACTCTATGAAGCTGTGTTACTTTACCTGTCTAAAACACCTGATTTTCTAATAAAGAGCTGAATGGCCAATAGGAAGGCAGGAGAAAGGATAGCCATGGCTGGCAGGCAGAGAGAATATGTAGGAGAAATCTGGGAGGAAAAAGGAGAAGTAGCCAGAGAAGGAGGAGGACTCAGGGGCCAGCCACCCAGCTACACAGCAAGTCACAGAGAAGTAAGAGAATGGAAAAAGCCCAGAGGCAAAAGGTAGATGGGCTAACTTAAAGTTAAGAAAAGTGGGCAAGAAACTAAGCCAAGCTAAGGCCAGACATTCATAATTAAGAATAAAGCCTCTGTGTGTGACTGTAGAGAGCCATGCACGGCCGCGCCTCAAAGATGGTGCCAGCATCCGGCTTCCGCCTTCGCGATGGCAGGTGTTCTCTGGGATAAACAACTCCTTATTTGGCTTGGGTGTGGAATCTGGCTTGCTTGCGTATGTCTGACCTATCGGCATTGTCCATGTGGCACTATGGGGTTGGTTGCCGAGTGGCTATAAAGGGCGTGGGCTGGCTTTCAGAAGATTGTTCAAGGTTCCTGAATAAACTGCTTGGAGAAGAGCCTGGTGTTGTGTCTTCCTTGCTGGTTGAGGCGGACGCGACATGTGACTTATTTGGGAGCTGGGTGGAGGGCCCCCAAAAGAGTAAAATACCAACAACAGCATATCTTTCAGCCTTTTTTGACCATGTGAGCAAACTTGTAAACTGCTAACCTACATCTGTATCCTCCACATAAGGCTCTAGACTGGCTCTGCCCACTTCTGTGGTCATGAAAGCCAAGCCTAAAACTCACGGCTCGATGGGAGGTTTATGACGAACTACTGCATTCAGCCTTCCTAGAGCTCTAAAATGATGATGCTTGCACTGTGGCAGGCATTTTTACTTAGTTTTTTGTTCCTACTTAATGTACTGGCTGCTCAAGGGCTCACTGACTGGCAGGCAGGAACTCTTCAAGGAGCCATATTTGTTTTCCCTCCCCCTTTTCTCAGTCCCTAGGGATAGTCGAGCCTCAGATTGGTATGCCAAAATGTAAGTGATTGCTTTTGCTCTTTTGAGGAGCCCACCACCCAGCTCCCAAATAAATCACACATGGAGAGACTTATTAGTTATAAATGCCCAGTCTTAGCTTGGCTTGTTTCTTGCCAGCTTTTATTAACCTAAATTATCCCATCTATCTTTTGCCTCTGGGCTTTTCCTTATCTATTCCTGTATACCTTTCTTTGTTTCTTACTCCATGGCTTGCTGTGTAGTTGGATGCCTGGCCCCTGGAGTCCTCCTCCTTCTCTGGCTCCTTTTATTTTTCCTCCCAGATCTCTCTTTTTATATATTCTCTCTGCCTTCCAGTACCACCTATCATTTCTCCTGTCTCACTATTGGCCATTCAGTTCTTTATTAGACCATCAGGTGTTTTAGACAGACACAGTAACACAGCTTCACAGAATTAAACAAATGCAACATAAACAAAAGTAACACACCTTAAAATAATATTCCCCAACAGCAAGAGGATCAGAATATCAAGGTTATCCTCAGGTCTAAGATACTTTGTCTCATACACACACACACACACACACACACACACACACACACACACACACACACACACACACTGGAAACTAGGAGATAGAGGTACAAGTAGAGAAGGGCAGGTATAGACACTGTTAAAGATGGCAAATTTAGAACTTACGAGAAAGACAATATGAATGGGGATGAGCTCAGTGGTAGAGCTCCTGCCTAGCATATTGGAAGTCTGTTAGAGTCTGGGTTCAATCCTTTGCACTACAGGGTTGGGGGAGTGCAGCTTTCATGTAATAAGCATGTATAGTTCAGGTCAAACTAAGATGAAGCACTTTATGGAAGACATAACTTTAGATTTGTGCCATGTCATGTTGCATGCTGAAGGTAATTCTTAGGATAAATTTAGAGAATGTGCTATGGGCTAGTGACTGTTATTAGGTGCTGGAGAATAAACTGAACAGCAAATCAGTAAGGCTCCTATAGAGAGTACTTTATGTATTCATTTGCTTTTAGTTAGTTAGTTAGTTAGTTAGTTTGTTTATTTGTTTGAGATCGGGTCATATGTAGTACAAGATAGCCTGGAACTCACTCTGGAGTACACGCTGGCTTTTTTTTTTTTTTTTGGTTTTTCGAGACAGGGTTCCTCTGTGTAGCTTTGCGCCTTTTTCTGGAACTCACTCTGTAGCCCAGGCTGGCCTCGAACTCACAGAGATCCGCCTGGCTCTGCCTCCCGAGTGCTGGGATTAAAGGCATGCGCCACCACTGCCCGGCTACACGCTGGCTTTTAATTCCTGACCCTCATGTCTCAGCCTCCCGAATAATAATTTTTGTTTTTCTTTCTTAGAGTCAAGATCATACTCTGTAGCCCAGGTTGGCCTTTGGACTCACTATGAAGCTCAGACTAGCATTGAATTCATGGCAATCTTCCTGCATCAGCCTTCTGAGTCTTATAATTACAGATGTAAGTCACCATACTTATCCATTTTTAACTTTTTAATCTATGTGTATGTCTGTGTGAGTAAATGCCGTGTGTGTACCTGCTGCCTGCAGAAGAGAGCGACAGATCATCTCTTCATCTCTCTAGACCCAGTCCACTTTCTTAAAAAAGGTAAAACACAGCCGGGTGGTCGTAGCACATGCCTTTAATCCCAGCACTCTGGAGGCAGAGGCAGGTGAATATCTGAGTTCAAGTGTACCCTTGTCTACAGAATGAGTTCCAGGACAGCCAGGGCTACATGGAGAAATCCTTTCTCTAAAAACAGAAAACCAAAAAACAACAGCAACCAAAGGTAAACATACATATTATGGGTAAGTATATTGGTGCTTTTGTATGCATACTGTAAGATAATAGATTAATAGAAATGAGCCTTCTGATCTTGGTTTTGCCACTTTCTAGTTAGCTAACCTTGTGTGACCTCTATGTTGTTGGCCTTGGTAAAGGTCATCTGTAAAATCAAAAAATGAGACCAGTGAACTGAGTGAGGTTTTCTTCCCTGAGTTCATTTTACTAATCAGATTACTCAATTTTAAAGAATGCTTTTGGGGTTGGGGATTTAGCTCAGTGGTAGAGCACTTGCCTAGCAAGCGCAAGGCCCTGGGTTTAGTCCTCAGCTCCAGAAAAAAAAAAAAAAAAAAAAGAATGCTTTCCTTCTACTTGGGACCCTTTTGCTCTACCAAGGGAGCTAATTCTAGTGCCCAGTGAAGTACCAGAGCTGCTTTTGCAGTCCTGCAAATCGGTATCAAGTGATTTATAGCCTAATGATTCACATGAATAAAGCGAAGATTCATATACTAATTACTGACTATTGAAGTGCGCAAAGCAGCTTCTTCTGGCTCCCTCTGATTATAATGTCTGAGGCTTGTTTTACAGGAAAGGATGACAGGTTAGAAGATGCTATAGCATAACCAACCTGGAAGTGTGACAATTTAATTGGAAAATGCTAATAATTTTTTAAAAATATTGACAGAAATTTCATGGCTATCCATTAAAACAAAGCTTTAAATGAAATTCTTAGAGGACTGACTCTTTGTAACTTTAGTGTGGCATTATATATAGCTGTGTTTATAAATGAGGCCAGTGTGAGTCATATGAGACCTTGTCTCAAAACAAAAACAAAAACAAAACAGAATAATCTATCCATTGCAAGCTTTAATATTTGGCTTCATGGTGTGTAGTGAGATATAGTAGGGAAGGTGTTATGAACAGCCAGTTTCTATTAAAAATGGGCAGAGGATGGCAGTCGTGGCACACGCTTTTAATCCCAGCACTAGGGAGGAAGAGATAGGAGGATCTCTGTAAATTCGAGGCCAGCCTGGTCTACAGAGTGAGTTCCAGAGTGGGACTATACAGATACCCTGTCTCTAACATGCCCCACCCCCCTGGGGGGTGGGAAGAAGAGACCAGTATCATTGAGGTGAAATCTCTAATGTATTCCTCAGGGTCTGCACACACAGGGGGTCCATTGAGGGCCAAGGTTTTATCTTAGGCTGGCAGCCCAACTCTAAATGTGTAAGGGCCACCCAGGTAGTGCTGGTTTTTATGTTATTAACTTTGGGGTGACTACCAAAGACATCAGCAGCTGTATAATGAAGCTGGCCTGAGTGTTAGCATTTAGGCATCTGTACTGCCTGCCCTTAGAAGGACCTCAGCTGCAGCCACTAAGAGCATCCCCTGTGTGCCTTCTCTATGTGTCCTTATAAAAGGCGGGCCTTGTACACCTCCCGTCTCTTTCTATTACTTCCCTCTCATCCCCAGGGACCAGTCTCTGCCCCCTTCTCTCCCCTCCCATCAATAAACCTCCCATGTGGGTCCTGTTGTATGGTGTGACTCCTTCCCACCCTTTTTAAAATACAGCATTGAGCCTATGAGATGAGTTATATGTGCTGTGGAGGGCAGAGAGAAATGGGGGCTGCCTAAGCCCAGAAGATCATGAGTGGATCCCAAATATTGGCCACTGTTGGACTTTGATTCTGCTGTGATCTGATCATAATTGTGGTCTGGTTCTTCCCTCTTAATTTCTGCAAATGACTAGTATAAGTATTACATCTCTGAGGGAAAAGATTTCCCTAGTGGAAGTTGTTGTAGAATATTATTTTGAGATGTGTTATATTTGTTTATGCTGTGGAACATTTATTTAATGATGTAAAATATGTTGCATTCTTTTATGTTGCATTTGTGTAACTCTGTGAAGCTGTGTTACGTGCCTGTCTAAGACTCCTGATGGTTTAATAAAGATCTGAACAACCAATAGTGAGGCAGAAGAAAGGATAGGTGGGGCTGTCAGGCAGAGAGAATAAATAGAAATCTGGGAAGAGAGATGGAGGAGTGAGAATAGGAGAGGAGGACATCAGGGCCAGCCACCCAGCAACACAGCAAACAACAGGGTAAGAGTGAAAGTAAGATTTGCAGAAGTAAGGACAGGAAAAAACCCAGAGGCAAAAGGTAGACAGGATAATTAAAGTTAAGAAAAACTGGCTAGAAATAAGCCAAGCTAAGGCCAGACATTTATAAGTAATAATAAGCCTCCATGTGTTTATTTGGGAGCTGGGTGGTGGGTTCCCAAAAGAGCAAAGCATAAAAAGAGCAAGACCAAACCACAACAGGAGGTGTTACAGCTCTGAGGGTAAAGGTATCCTGGCAGTTGGGAGCCAAGGAATACCACAAAGTCACATGTACAACAAACCTCACACAAGAGATTTATTGGGAGAAACACAAGAGGGTAGCTGCCTCTGCTGGGGAGAAGCAGCACAGACCTGAACAGGAGGCAGGCTTATATAAGGTTTCTAGGGGCAGGGCTTTTCAGGATAGCCTGGGATTGGAGGGATTATGTGGTTGGTCTTGAGCTTTTTTTTGTAGGGTGGGGCGTGGCCACTCTCCAGCCTCAAGGGCCTGGGGACCGCACTTAGAGACTCTGGGAGGTAGTGTTTAGCTGTTCAAGCCTCAAGGGGCTTACAACTAGATTTTCTGAATTGGTAGCTTGATGGGTCCTAGAATGATACAGATAGATCTTGGCTCCTAGGCCTCCCCTGCAGTGAGCTGGAGTCCGCTGCTGCTTTTCTTATCTGGCTCTGTCTTCAGGCCTGTGACTGATCACTAGAGCAGAGCAATGCTGTCTCTAAAGGGGTCACCATGACCCACGGAGACAAGACTATGGGTTATAAGGAGGACAGATGCTGGGGGCCTGTCACTGCACTAAGCATTGAGTCTCTTTTTCAGTGTAGACCACTAGATTCAGTTTTACAGAGGAACAAATGCTTTGTCTGCACATCACATTGTCAAGTGCTGTTTGAATCTCGAGGAGAAACTAGTTATGGAGGTGGGACTTGGCATTCCCATGTCAGACTCAAGCATATTTTATTTCAAAACATCCTCCAAAGCTCCCCTCACTGAATCAGGCTGGCCGCCTAACTCAGTAACAGGGAGAAAGAATAAGAAAACAACCAAAGAATAAAGATGTGACTATTATGTATCTCACGATATAAAGCTCCGTCCCTAGCTGCCACTTACACTTATTTAAAACCAAAAGCATCATTATGGTAGATTGATCTACATGTATGAAGACTGTCTTCCTGTGTTTTCTACAAGTTTTACCTGCGAACTTACCAAGCCCTACAGTTCAACAATAAATACACAGGTAGTATTAATTCGTTATGTATACCATTTGGATATATGGATTTCTTTCATTAAGGTGGTATTAGGTAATACTATCTTCCCAGACACACAATTACCATGACACCAGCTGCATCATTTTCAGTTGTCATGTCTACTGTGGATTGTTGATTTGTTAGCTATTATGTCTCATATCATGGCGGGATGCTTTTTTTAAGCATAGCAAAGAAAGCTGGAAAGTTTAAGCAAGTTACAAGGGTCTGAGCAAGGTGTGTAAGAAGTCAAAGTTCAAAGCACTGATGTTTAAATCAAAGGAGTTGTTGATCTATTCTCCAAAATAATTACAAGGACTGGCTTAAAAACAGAAATGTATGTCTAATCAAAGTGAATTTAAAAGTGTTTGGTGAAAGGACCAAGCAGATGCCATAACAGGCTGCTCAGTCTTCTCTCAGAGATCAGGCCTCAATTTCAGTTTCCTGAGAGTTGAGCAAGCAGTTTCTGGGAGGGCCATGAACAAAAGACATAGTCCTTGCAGTAGCTCCCTTTCTGCACGTACTCTGATTGCTCAAAGTTCAGCCAGATGCTTACTGTCTGGGACCCCTCACCAACTTAGAGTTATGTGCATGAGTCAAGGACAGAGCCTGGACCACTGAGCCAGCACCCACAGTCAGTACGTGCTAGGCCAGCCAGCCCCCATGGCGGCTCAAGGTCAAAGCCTGGGACTTGTGCTGGACTGCCCCCAAAGTGATAATTGTAACCACCAACCAGTAAATTTAAAGGTTACATACCCTCACCCAATTAAAAGAGAACAGAGATAAAAATAAACCAATCCGAGTTGCACCCATGCAAAACCCCCCCAGCCCCCCTGAAGGGCTTGTGGTTTTTGCCTTTAAAAAGCTAGCCACACAAAGAAAGAGCAACTCCTCCCTGCCTCACTGTATTGGGTGTAGGAATGAGTTCCCTGTCTAGACTTGTATCTACAGAATAAACCTTGCTGTTGCATTCTGGACACCTTTGGTCTTTGGTGGTCTCTTTGGGGTCATGATCTGGGCATAACATTTGGTTTTTGCTCAAGTTTTATCTAAATATTACATAGTTGTTAAAAGTATCTAAGTGGTGCCACTGACCTTCCGAGAGTTCGATAACCATACTTGGAGGCTATACTAATGAGATAAGAGGGATGAGAGGGAGAATTTTGCATGCACGCATGCACGCACGCACGCACGCACGCACGCACGCCACCCCCCAGCTCTCCATGGTCAAGTATTACCAGGGGACTATGGGACACCTCTCTAAATGTCCTGCAACCGTGGGCAATCCCCTGCTCTCTTGGGCAGCAGGCAGAGATCCCCCTGGCGAGCTCTCACAGTGTCTGGTTTGCGCAGGGGAGTGTCAGTCCAGAGGAAAAATCTCCTCCATGCTTCAAGGGAAGTCATTGTCAAGCAAGGCCTTTGAATTATTCTCACATCCATGAATGACTGAAAAACAAAAGGAGGTTAGAGGATCCAGAGGTTTCTCTTGAGCCCAGACAACCCACAAGAACAAGATTCTCATAGAATCTTGACAGTTTAAAAAAAGTGATTAATTTTAGCTACCTGTATGGTCTTAAACACCCAGCAGGAAGATGTCCAAAGAATAAAGTGATTGGTGTGATTCTTCAATGGTTTAAGGTATCACATTCCTTGGGCATTAGGTTTAAAATCACATGAGATGTTATTTAGACAGCTATTTCTCATTAACAATTTTCTTCCTGACCAGAAAAAAACACAATACAGACCTCAGACCTTGGCTCAGTTAAACACTGCAATGCCTACCTGAAGACAAGAGACATAGGCCCACTACTGTTTTCAACTGATGGTTACATTTCCTCTTGGTCTCTTTGTCTGTCTCTCATCTGGGAGGGACCTCGTACTGCGTTGTTAGCCTGGGGTCATCACTCCCAAGACCAGCCTTGGATGTGGGACTGTCTTCTCTCTGGAGAAAGAAACATGAAGTGGAGATCCTGGCTGGAACAGCCTCGGGGTGGAGGTGGAGGTAAGGATGGCGGGCAGGTGTAGTGGCTGGGAACCAGGGCAGAAACAGCAGCATGGCCACCACTGCTCTTGCAGTCGTACACGAGAAGGCACTGTCGGGAAGGAAGCAGCAGAAAAAGAAAACTGTGGAGCCAAGGTACTCCTTCAAAGTCATCCCCTGGGGACTCACTTCCTCTAACCAGCCCTCATCTCCTAGTAGCCATGAATTTATCAATGAATCAATCCATCCCTGTGGTGTTCAGTCACCTCCCAGGAACACCAACAGCTGGGTACCAAGCCTGCCAATACATGGGGGAATCGGGGTGCTTTGTATCCAAACCAAGTCACAGCACAAGGGGAAGCAGGTGGTAGGCATTCAAGAAGAAAGATAAAGCTGGGTGGCGGTAGTGCAAGTGGGTCTCTCGAGTTCCAGGCCAGCCTGGTCTACAGCGCGAGTTCCAGGCCAGCCTGGTCTACAGCGCGAGTTCCAGGCCGGCCAGCGCTACTCAGAGAAACCCTGTCTTAAGAAAAGAAAAAAAAAAGGAAGAATAATAAGATTTAAAAAACCCTCAAACTGTAATATTTACTGTGTGGGTAATTTATTCCAGTTTATATACAAAGTAGTAGCTTTTAGAATCAAGTTAGTAAGTAGGAAAAAACCACATTAATTAAGATCAGACATAAGAAAAGTCAATGGACTAGGGCTATAGCTTCTTAGCTGAGTGCTTGCTTAATATGCACGAGGCCCTGGGGTGGATCCCCAGTATAGCATAACCTGAATGTAGTGCTACATGCAGTAATCCCAGCTCTGTGGGAGACAGAGGCAGGAGGAACAGGTGTTCAAGGTCATACTCAGCTAGGTAGTGAGCTGGAGGCCAGGCTGGAAACGCATAGCACCTTGTCTCAAATGGGGGTGGGGAGGAGAGAAAATGAAGTCAGTCTGAAAATGAAGTCAGAGCTTATTGATCTATTTTGGTGTAAAACTCCTACAATATGGCTTTGATCAATCTGAACAGCTAGGATCAGTGTTATAAATGTAGCTGTAAACAGGTACTCTGAAAGTTCTTGGATTTCAACTCAGACAATTGATAGAGTGATAGGGAAAAAAAAAGGCAGATTCATGGCTGTTAACTTGCCAATTTATAAAAAATACTTGGGGCTGGAGATATGGGTCAGAGGGCCTGGGTTTGATCTGTAGCTTCCACATAAGACATAGATATACATCAAGATAATGAAATATTTGCTTATCTTCCCTCTGTTTTTCATAAATATACACGTGTGTGTGTGTATGTATGTATGTACATATATACTTTGGTATCTATATAAGGTATATGTTCAGATGGAACCTCCTGCTCACCCCTGCACGATCCAGAAAGCCCCATTCCCGGTCTATCTCCAAATCCGCTCTTGTCCACTCTGAGATCCTCTGAACAAAGGAAAGGCGCCAGAAGACCACTTCTGAATTCTTGCAGCTTCCTCCCCTGAAGTTCCTAGCCGCCCAAGTCCCCACCTAAAGAGCTCATCTTTTTTTTTTTTTTGGTTTTTCGAGACAGGGTTTCTCTGTGTAGCTTTGCGCCTTTCCTGGAACTCACTTGGTAGTCCAGGCTGGCCTTGAACTCACAGAGATCCGCCTGGCTCTGCCTCCCGAGTGCTGGGATTAAAGGCGTGCGCCACCACCGCCCGGCTGAGCTCATCTTTTGACCATACTCGGACACAAACCGAGCTTGCGGCAGACACATCATCACCCCTCACCTACAACCTATAGTCTACCTACTTTCATCTCTGGGACTGGAGAACTGGCCTGAAAGTTGCTTTGCTCAAATAAACCTGTTGTTATTGTTAGAATTCCCAGCCACTCCCCCATGACCACTCATGGACTGGCAAGACGCTTAGTCATCCTAGGGCCTTCCGTCCTATGTAATCAGTGCACTGTGTGATCAAGTAATCTGTGCGCATGCGTGGCGTATCTATGTAAGCCCATACACACACGTGCGGGGGCGGGGGATCTATAAAAGTGGGTTCCACTTATTCCTCTTCCTGCACGGTCTTTCCATAGGCCTAAGCATCCCCTTCTATTTCCTCTCCTTAATTGTTATAGTGGGCTTTGTTGTACCTCGTGGCTTTTCTCGAACGGTAAACAGAGCCGCTTAATGAATAACATTGCACTGCATAATAAATAACAGTAATGCTTTTTCAATTTGGCTTAGTCTGGCTTACTGCAGCATTGGATAAACCTACTGTGGGGGAGGGAATCTATTAGTTAGTATATGTACATATAGGCACAAATTTTCTTTGTTTTGTTTTGGGACAGGGTAGTCCTATGTAGCCTTGTCTGGCTTGGAATTTGCTTATCAAAGAGCAATATACCACACCTTTTTAAAAAATATTTCACATTAAAAACACTTTTAGATTTAAAAACTTTCTTTTATGTGCTTGTTTTGCTGTATGTATGTATATATACCATGTGCATGCTGATGCCCACAACAGTCAGAAGAAAGCAGAAGAGTTAGGGTGGTTCTGAGCCACCATGTGGGTGCTGGGAACCAAAGCTAGGTCCTTTACAAGAGCAACAAGAGTTCTTAACCTGCTGAGCCATCCCTCTAGCCCCACCCCTGCACCTCCCCCACCCCCGTCCCAGCCCTTTTCATTCATTCTCAGGCTGCAAGGGTTTAGTCTGGCAAGACAGCTCCGTGTGTAAAAGCCCTTGTCATGCAAGCCCGATGACCTGAGTTTGATTCCTCACTTCCCACTGTGGAAGGAGTGAACTGACTCTTGAAAGTTTTCTTCTGACCTCCAAGTTACATACACAGGTGCGAAAACACACACACACACACACACACACACAGTGAAGATTCAAAGATTAAGGATTGTGTTTTATTTTACCAGGATCTGCACGATGCTAGGTACAGTTTGGTAGCAATCATCTCTCTCACACACAATTATCTAAAATGCTTTCCATACACTGTTTTCTATATTAGGATTCCTATTCATCCATCTGTTATTTCTGGATTCCTTTATATTTTTAGACAGGGTCTCACACAGCCCAGGCTGGCTTGGAACTTGCTGTGTACCCAAGGATGACCTCTAGCCCTCCACGCTCTGTGGAGATGGGATTACAAATGCACACCACCACACCCCACTGAAGCCTCACAGGCTGGAGCTACACCTAATTCGTGTTTTCACTCCAAGCAAGTGCAATGGATTCTTACATATTTGCTGAGTAAATACAAACCGATAAGAGAAGATGCTATCTCCTGTTCGATTCTCATCAAAGCGCCACACAAGCACTGAAAGGCTGCTTAGCCTTCTCGCACAGGTCTCACACCCTGTCCCAACAGACTGGGAAGCTTGTTTCCCTAGGGCAGTGCACAAAGGGAACAGGGCCGCTTCAGTCTGAAGTGCTTTAGTGATGAGAATGTTTGGAATGCCAGACACACCCAAGCTTAAGTACGCAGGCACACTCCAGAGGGCAGTTTCAATGCCTACTTTTCTTCCTCCCTAACGGCGAGTATAGAATTTTAGTGAAAGGCAGACCGTAGATACTGGTAAGCAGAAACAACTGTGATTAGAGACTGCTCTACTCATTCTGTGAATCGCACCACAACCTTTTCAAGCTGCTAAAGTTGCCTGACAAAACTAGAAAGAAGTTGTGTTGTTTTTAAAGTTGTGTTGTCTTTGGCTGGAGAGTTGGATAGTGGTTAAAGCACTTGTAGCTCTAACAGAGGTCCTGGGTGTGATTCCTAGCACCTACATGGTGATGCATGATCTTCTGTAATTCCAGTCCCAGGGGATCCCAGTCTCCTCCTTCTTAACCTCAAGGCACCAGGTCCTCCAAGGGCACCAGGCACATACATTCAGGGAAAATACATACATGCAGGCAAAAAATTTGGACACAAAATAAAATAAATAAATCTAAAACAAGAAATTTACTTTCCTACCTTTTATTGAGATTTGAGGGCTTAGCAACAGATTCACTCCCTTTTCATTGAAGTCAACGATCACTTGGTAGTTTTTTGTTTTTTAACTAGAAAATAATTGTTTTGAGACAGGTCACTCTGTGTAGGCTGGCCTTGTCCTCCACCTCCAGCCTCATCCTCCTCAGTGGTTTTTTTTTAGAAGTGTATTTTTCTGAAGAGCTTGTATTATAGAACATTACATCTAGAAACAATGTTCAGAATAGCAATACTGACCCCAGGGAAAAAATGGGTCACTTCTTGTCTAGACTTGGAGGGACCTTCTTTATGCCTGGGGTGCGGTGGGAGGAGCAACCCTGAGGCAATGTGCCTCGGGAGATTCCAAATCTCACACATTTTTAAGTTGCTCAGATGCAAGCTGGTCTTTAAAGCAGCAGTGAGTGCGGAATGACTGGGGGTGCTCGGTACTTCTTCTTGAAGTTGGAGGAGCCGGTAGAGCGAGGCCCTGCTCCTCAGGAAATAGGCTGTTTACTGAGTAAACAAGCGGTAACCACAGAAACACCTGCTACTCCAGAGGCGCCGCGGAGCCGCCGCCCCCCGCGGCCACATCCGGGCACTCCGCTGACGCTCGCACGCTACGGCCGTTTAGCTCATTTGAAAGCCACGCACAGCCAATCCACCGGCACCGCCTGGAGGCGGGCCTTGGGCTGTGACCAATCAGCACGCCCTTCGGGGCTCCAGCCTATCAGAAGGAGGTTGACAGAGGGCGCCAATCAGCATGGCTCTTAGGGAGAGCGGCTGGATTTTTGAATCGGCCGCGGCCGCCTCCCTCGAGCCATGGCGGCGCCGGTGAGCGGAGTGAGTGTGTGAGGAGAACAGCCGAGGACCGCGCCGGAGCGGCTGTCTTTACCTCTCGGCGTGGTGGGACTGCGGGGTGAGTGGGGGGCGAGTGCCCCGAGCCGTGGGCGCCGGCGTCCGAGGCCGGCGTCCCCGGGGCCGGCCGCGGGCCCCATCCCTGCCCGTCCCGCTCCCGTCCCGCCCTCCCCACCCCCGTCCTCTCCCGCGTCCGCTGTCCCCGGCTGGCCCTTCCTCGCGGTCCGAGTCTGGGTCCCCCTCCTGTGGTGCCGCTGCCCGGCGCCCCGGGTGAAGGGCGCAGTGGGGACCGGGATTTTGGCCGGCCGCCCGCCCGCCGCGGCCCCGAGCTGCCCTGATTGCTCTGTGGTTTCCCTCTGGAATTCCTGCAGAATTCCGATTTTCGATTTTTAAATATAAACCGCTGGCCGCCCCGCCCCTTCCTGGCCACAGATGTGTGTGGTTAGTGGTTAAGGAAGCGCTATCGGTGGATTTGGACCCCGCTTGGAGTCGCCTTGTGGGCAGCTTTCCTTAGCCACAAACTGGATGTGGCCCCAGTAGTCGTCTGTTAGGATGGCTGCAAAGGTTAAAATGAATGGCAAGGAAAAAGATTGGGGATAGTGCCTGTAAAATATTAAGCTCTAAGTAAATGAGAACTAATCACAGTTATCAATAACATATTCACTATTGTAATTTGATTCTTTACGCTGGATAACGTTTTTATGAAGAAACCTAATTTAAAAGAACAGCTAAAATGACTATTTGTTTAAACGGGCCCATGTGTTGTGAGACAGGGTCTCAGGTTGCCCAGCATAGGCTTCTACTGTGGAGCCAAGGGTGACATTGATCTTCTGATGTGCTTGCCTCCACCTGCGTGTTCGGATTACAGGTGTACTTTCACCGTGCCTGGTGCATGAGTTAATTGGGGATGACTTCATGCCTGCTACTGCGGAGCTGCACCCCGAGACAAAGATGTGTTGTTTTATGGTTACTGATTCTGTTGTGTTTATTTTTAAAAACTCTATGTGAATATAAAAAAATGTGATTGGTGCATTTTAGTTTGAAATCAGATTGTTGGATGCTAGTTATATCATTATTTACCATGTAGCTCTTTTGCTGTAAATTTTGAAGCTTTTTTTTTTTTTTTTTTTTTTTTTTTTTTTAAAGATTTATTTATTTATTATGTACACAGAAGAGGGCACCAGATCTCATTACAGATGGTTGTGAGCCACCATGTGGGTGCTGGGAATTGAACTCAGGACCTCTGGAAGAGCAGTGGGTGCTCTTAACCTCTGAGCCATCTCTCCAGCCCCATGAAGCTGTTTTGAATACATGATATATGCATTTAGGCATTTTCTTTTTTCTTCTTTTTTTTTTTTTTTTGGTTTTTCGAGACAGGGTTTCTCTGTGTAGTTTTGGTGCCTGTACTGGATCTCACTCTGTAGACCAGGCTGGCCTCGAACTCACAGAGATCCACCTGGCTCTGTCTCCCAAGTGCTGGGATTAAAGGTGTGTGCCACCACCGCCTGGCGCATTTAAGCATTTTAAGTTAAAGAGGGTTATATAAATTAAAATATCTCTAAAAATGTATAGTAAAAGTGGGATGGTGTTAGTTCACGCCTTTAATTCCAGCACTCGGGAGGTAGAGGCAGATGGATCTCTGAGTTTGAGGCCAGCCTGGTCTATGGAGCGAGTTTTAGGACAGCCAATGTTACATGAGAAGCCATGTCTTGAAAAACCATAAAACCTGTCTTTAAAACACACGCACACGCACGCACACATATTACAATGCATACACACACACACACACACACACACACATACATATATATATATATATATGTATTGTGAAGTCTTGACATTGATGCATGATTATACATAATTATGGGCTGTATTTTGACATTTCTTTTTTTCTCTGGGGCTGAGGGGTTGAACCCAGAACATCCATCCTTCATGCTTTACCACTAAGCTACACTTCAAGCCTTAGAATATTCTAGTACATTTATACAGTGTGTATGATCAGATCAGGGTAACGGTTATGTCACATCACTTCTTTTATTGGAAACATTCAAAATCCTTTCTACTAACCTCTTCTTAATGAAGCACAGTTGGAGTTTATTTATTAGGGGAAAGTTTTTTAAAATTTTTAAAATTTTATGTGTATTGGTGTTTTGCCTGCATATATGTCTATGTGAGGGTGTCAGATTTTGGAGTTACAGACAGTTGTGAGCTGCCATGTGGGTGCTGGGAATTGAACCTGGGTCCTCTGGAAGAACAGTCAGTTTAATCGACAAGCCATCTCTCCAGCCCCAGGGAGAAGCTTTAAGCACTGTGTTCTACTAAACATTTCATTAATTACTGCATTTGGCTTTTTTAAAATCAGGTTTCATGTGATCCTCCTGCTTTTACTACCATGAGCAGCTCAAATGGTCTTTTATTTTTATTTTATTTATTTATTATGTATAGTGTTCTGCCTGCATGCCAGAAGAAGGCACCAGATCTCATCATAGATGGTTGTGAGCCACCATGTGGTTGCTAGAAATTGAACTCAGGACTTCTGGAAGAGCAGCCAGTGCTCTTAACCTCTGAGCCATCTCTCCAGCCCCTCAAATGGTCTTTTTGATTTATTGAACATTTTTGATTTCTTTAACCTAGCTTGTTTTTGTGAACCTTTAATCCCAACTGTCAGGAATGCTGACACAGGAGGATTGCCTGGAGTTTCATAGTGAATTCCAGGCCGGCAAGGGTCACATTGCAAGATCCCTCCTCAAAAGAACATCAGTCAGCCAAATCAAATCATCTCCGTCCTGAAAGCTGATCACCTCTCCCTCCTCCCTTTTCCTTCTCCCTCTCTCCAGCCCTTTTTTTGAAACAGGGTCTTCTCCTGAATTTTGGAATAAAAGGTGTGTACCCCAAGGCTTGGCCCAGGGTCTTACTCTGTAATCCAGACTGGCCTCACATTCACAGTAATCCTCATGCCTTAGCCTCCAGGAGTTTACCATTATGTCTGGCTTTTTTTCTTTTTAAAAAACATTTATTTTTATTTTTTAGGTTGTTGTTTTTTCAGACATGGTCTCATTTTAGCCCTGGCTGTCCTGGAACTCACTATGTAGACCAGACTGGCCTTGAACTCACAGAGATCCATCTGCCTCTGCGCCCAGTTGCTGGGATTAAGATGGGCCACTATATCTGGCTCTTTTGTTTTTTTTTTAAATTGAAAATAGATTTTTTTTTTCCTTTTTTTGGTATTTTTGAGACACAGTTCTCTGTGTTTTGCTGGTTGTCTTGGCACTCTTTCTGTAGATCAGGCTGGCCTCAGATTCAGAGATGACCTTCCTCTGCCTCCCCAGTATTTTTTTTCTTTTTTTGATTTTTTTTAATACAGTACATTCGATCATTTCTTTTCCTAGATCCTCCCCATCTCCCTACCTCTCCACCTAACCAATTCCACAGCTTCTTTCTTTGTCTCTTTAGAAAACGAACAAGAAAGACAGAATAGAAAAATCAGGAGGAAAATCCAAAGAAAAAGCATGAGAAGCACATACACAAGCAGAGAGACACACACAGAAAAAACATAAAAGCACAAAACAGTATATAAACAAAAGACCAGTTAGGTAAAAAAATGCCCAAAGTATTATGAGGCAAAATATTTCCACAAGAATACCACAGTTTGCTTTCAGTTGTCCACCTACTGTGGGTATGGAGCCTGCCCTTCGTGATTGTGTACTCAGTGAGACTTAGGAGAACACTGTATTCTTCTTTTGAGTGGTTGTCAATTGGAGATAGCTTCTTGGTTAGAGATGGGAGATCATGTCAACTTCCTCTCTCAGTGCTGGGACCCCTTTTGGCGTGGACTGTGCAGGCCCTGTGCATGCTGCTTCGGTCTCTGAGTTCATGTGTGCATCAGTCCTGTTGATTCAGAGGGCACTGTTTGCTTGGAGTCCTCCATCCCCTCCTCCTCTTCTGATGGAGACGTCATCCCATTTAGGGCTGAGTGTTCCAAAGTATCTCACTCTCTGCATAATGTCTGGCTGTGGGTTTCTGTATTGTTTCCCATCTACTGCTGCTTCAAGTTTCTCTGATGATGGCTGACCAAGACACTGGTCTATGGGTATATAACAGAATGTTGATAGAAGTCATTATGTTGTGACATTTCTTTAAGTGACTTAGAACCTTGCGTTTTTCACTAGAAATGATTTTTAGAAGATGTAGGAAAAAGATTGTGTGGAATTTGTAATTGATTCTGAATAAAGACAACTATTGGAGCACTCTATAGAGAACTTTAGAATAGTAATTGCTTTGGAAGACAATAAACAATACCGAGTTGTGAATATTGTATAAATATGAATAGTTATTTGTCATTTCAAAATACCTATTCAATTTCTATCACAATCTGAATTTGAGTTGCAATCTATATCTGCTTTCCTCAAACAGAAACTGAGGCTTAATGCAGAGCTGAGCTAGGAAACAGGTGTCTGACTTGTAAGTGTATGATTTTTACAACCATGTGTAGGTCTGTTGTGTGTACATTTTGTACTACCCAGACTCACCATCCAGAAGTGAAGATTCAAACCTTACTGATTTTCCAAAGCATACAGTTTAAACTGTTTCTTTACTAAGAATCCAGAGTAGTAGGGAAAAGTCATGAGCTCTGATGTAAAGATGAGACTGTTACATTTAGTTAAGAAATTTGCGCCCCGCCCCCCCTTGGGTATAAAGCCCAGGGTCTACAGCATGATTGGCA